TATATATATATATATGATATATATATGTTATAAGTAAGTATATTATATATATGTAATTATATACCAAGTTTTTTGATGTTTTTTAAACATACATCATGTATGAAATATGCAGAATATTACTATTTTTGCATATGTATTCAAACAATAAGACTTTTCTAGTAAGGAAAATTTTTTCTTTGATATTCTTTCTTACAGGAAACTGTTTTTGCATAACAAATATTAATACAGGAAATCCTTGTTAATTCAAAGTTCAAGGAATGAAATAATTGCGACTTTGACTTATCCGAGATTTACATATTTCTGCACAATATGCCAAATGTCATGTAACTGATGTAATTTATTAAGCAAATGGAATACAGCTATGTGTACAGAACACTATTTTCATTAATTAATAATAATAATGTAAATAAACTGCAGGTTGAGAACCTCACAAATTGTCAGATCCCTACAAAATTGATGTAATGCAATAACTCACCAACAACTGCCATGTTATTTAATTAAATATTTAATTATTAATTTTAATATGAGATGGTGCATAATGCCTCCCTCTAGTGCTAAATTTATTTGTAATTTAGAATTATTTATTCCAAATTATAAAACAGAATTCCTCAAAATGTAGCTGAAATTATTTTTAAAGTGGCTGAAAAAGTAGTAAGTCACACAAAAGTAATAGTCTAGAGCCTACAAATATCTCAATCTGCTACTCATAGCCCAATCCTGAAAACTAGCTGTATTTTACGAGATAAGAGAATAAAAAAGGTAATCCATGTGTGAGGTTACACTAAAAATGTGTTACTGTTAAAGCAAAGTCATATTGACCAGATTAGAGTTGTTCTTTGTCTATTGTTCTCATATAGTGTGGTAGCATATCACAGTTCAGACAAAATTTCACTTCAAATTTTGAAGAAGCTGTATTTCAAACTAATCAAATTCCTTGAAGTGCCTTCTATATCCCTTGCTGGGACAAAGTGCAGTTACAAACTAATGGGATTTTGAACCACTTGAGTTCATATTGATGAGGATTTATCTGTATAATAAAATACATGAAAAAGAAAAATGAGAATGCATGGTCAAAATATAACATAAATTTATCATTATCATATTTAATGTTTCTCTATTTAATTATTTAATGTTTCTCATTTAATTTATTTCAGTATAAAAATTCAAGAAAATATGTTATAATAGCCAAGTAATTTTGTTTTAAAATTAAATTTATTCAAATTGCTAATTGAATATGAAGAAATACTCTAAAATGAACATCAGATAATGCTTGTTCACTTTATCTTAATTTCCTCTGCTGGTCACCTGCTAATGGTGTAAAAAGAGAGAGAGGGTTCTTTAGCAAGGCTTTCACATGTGTTTGGATGATGGACAAAGATACTATTGCAACTGTTCATGACTAGATGATCATCTTTTTTGGTGGTCTTTCTAGGGCATTTTACAGCCTGCCCACTGTTTATGTGTACCCTGGCAAATCCGGTGTCCCCAACACTTACTCACAGTGAGGTCAGAATGGGTCAAATGGCAGAGTTTGGTAAAATGACCATTCTGCTTCCTTCAGTCTGATGATATGTTCTTTGTCAAACTTCATCAGCTGTGCCTAATAGGTTTGACTGCATCATACAGATATGCCTGGTATTCAAAGACCTCCAAATAGCAAGTACACAGAAAATTCTGAGCATAGTGAGCCTTTGCAAGCTCTTTTATAGGATACTGAGGTAGAAATCTTAAGGCACTCTGCTGGCATTATTTTGCATGCAGTTGGATCAGGATTATAATCATTTACATATCTGTCTGAGACGGCTGTATGCTGAGTTGTTTAGTAATTAGACAATTCTATCTAAATGCATTATTTTTCTTGGAAATGAATGAATAGTTGTTTTAAGTTAAAGACTATTATCATAAGAATTTTTTTATAATTTATTTCAGTATAAAATTTACATAAAAATTAAATTTTATTAAACATTTTGTCATAATAGGTTAACATATTTTTAAGTGATTTTACAGTAATTACTTTTCAGAATTTTTAATAAAAGAATGTTTTTTATATTTGAATCATAAAAGAATGTATATTAATATGAATCACATAATAAGTGCATGTCATTTTGTGATGTTTTAAAATGAACTTTGATATTATAATGGCATGTCTTTAAAGATTTATTTTTAATGAAAATTTTTTGTTTATAGTTGAAATTGACGTTTGAAGATCGTCAAAAACTTTATCGTGATGTTATTAATTGTCGTCATATATTGGTAGACAGTGGATTAATGAGGAAACCACAAGAAGAAAACATTGGTCTTTTTCGTAGTACTCTTCGGAAGTGAGTATGCTTTAAAACAAATATGTGAAATATAATTATTCAAAAATGAAATATTTTAAGTTTTATGTTAAGTATTACTATTGAAAAATTCTCTTTCTTCACATGAATCATTAAAATTCACAACTTATAGTTAAATTATGTATCATAAAAAAATAATAGGCATTTTACAATTACCATTAAAAGAAATGTTCAAAAACTAACATTAAATATATAGAATTTCACTCACATCTATACTTATTTTTAACATTAGTTTTTGAATTTTTTTTATTATATATCATGTTAATATAACTAATGATTAAATATTAACTGATTAAATATTAATATAAAATAATATATTAACTAAATGATTAAATATTAATATTAAATAATAATTAACTCTGATTATTAGTGCATCAATGGCATCATGTAGATAAAGAGAGTAAACTGTCTAAAAATCTACATAAGGTGTGTGGACTTCTTACTTCAATTATGTAATAGTTGTCATCAAAACAAAAAGTTTGTCTGCTGTTCAACTAATTTTTATCTACTTTTTATACTTTTTATCACTTTATATCATATATTTATTGCTTTTTTTGTATGGTAATATGGTAGTTATTGAGAAAAACAAAAAATGGAGATTTAAAATGAAGAGAAAAGTTATTTGTGATGAGTAGTGCATTAATTTTCTTATAACCATAGCAACAAATTTGAGAATGTTTTGTTTTGTAAGTAGGCATATTTTTTTAAAATGTTGTTTTTAACAATGAGTATTCAATATGCAAAAGTACTTGAAATTTAGGATGCTTTATTTTGATAGGCTTTTGAAAATTTGGTTATTATAAAAAGAATTGTAGTAGCCTAAATAAATTATAATATACAGTAAATAATCCAAATTAATAAATCATATTCTGTAGTCCTTTAGAATTTTCAAATATTTTTAGCTGTTCATCATAGAATATATAAAATTTTTAAAAATTTTTACTTTGATTTTAGTAAAAATAGTAAAATAAACTAAAATAGTAAAATAATAAAAAAAAATTTGATTTTAGTGTTAATAAAATTAAATGTTTGTTATAATATATTTATTGTATTCTTAAATAATTAAAAAATATTATCATTAGCAGCTATAATTTAATCTGTTTTATTAATATAACTATAAATATAAATTTTAGTACTGTGAATTCTTATTTGTAAAAGTTATCTTAAAGTTTTAAAATAATTCTTTCAGACTGAATAGAAATAGATTAGATAAACTACGACAAGAATATGGAGAAACTGAAGAAAATTACAAATCTTTTCGACATAGCCATTGGGCATTTAGCAAAATTGGAGTACAGCATAGTTTAAGTGTTATTCCTGAGTCTGATGTAGAAGATGCAGCTATTCATATATTTTCTTCTATATTAGCATATTCTGGATTGTTAGAAAGAGGTTAGAATGGTTTAAAATAAGTTAGTGTTTATATATCATAACAACATGCACCAACTTTAAATAGAAAGAATGAAATGATACAGTCGACCCCCTATAACGCAGTAGATATGTTCCACTTTATAAGAATTTTGCATTGTAGGAATCCTTAAATACATGAGCCAATTACAGGCTGGCACGTGTGCAGTTTACGGACTACGGCTGTTTGAAAGGTTTTCTTCCATAAAATTAATCGATTCTAGACTAATTTGACTCAACATTTCCAAAACACGTATAATTTTTTGGGAATAATCCATATAAACTATGCTATAAACAAAAAATTGTAGAATTACTTACCGAGTGTGCACCATTTGATGACGCCATTGCTTAAGCTTGTTTTCGCCACGGAGCAGTGCATCGAACGGCAGGCGCATTTTCTGATAAGTTATTTTTCTGCAAAAAATTCGCTGAACTTTGGAGACATCATTAATAGAAATAATTTTTGTGGCCGTTGAATAAGAAATGTTTTTTTCACAAGAAATGTATAAAATTACAGTACTGTATTAGACTTACAGTACCTAATTTATATACTGTACAGACGATAGTAAACTCAACTTACCCGCCTAAACTCTCTGTAGTGTGTAAGTAGTTTGGTTGCTCATTCACTATTGGTCCAGATTTGGCCAATTCTGTCGCGACACGAGTTGGTGATGACGTTTTACCGCATTTTACGAGTCTCTTTTAACATCTTTATATGAATACGGTCGCAATTTTTTCGCCGTGATATACGAATTCGCATTATATGAACCCGCGTTATAGGGGATTGACTGTACTGTCTTTTGTAGTTCAAATTTAATGTTAATTTTAAATACAGAATAGAAACTGCTCACAAGTGCTTTTGAGAAATCAAGTTATCTTTTTCAGGTGAATAAAACTATTTCTTATAAAAGAAGCATTCATTTCAGTTTTCATAGTTATTATTGCAGTTTGGAGCAGTTGATAGCCTTTTTTTCTTTTAAGAAAATTTTAAATTTATTTACTTCATTTATTAAGAAACAAAACACAGTGGTAAATGACAACTGAAAGTAAATAATGTCATCAATATTTGACTGTAACTGGCATGTCAAACATCACTGTTAACTTAATAAATTGTCGCATTTAGTTTCAATTATATAATTTTATAAATCATCAAGAAGCTAATACATCTTTTATAGTTATTATTTACAAAAAAGTAGTGATCTCTTTCTTGTATTGATAATAATCTAAGCTGGAACCAAACAGTATATAGAGACAATGAAAACACCTTAATGTGGCACTATCTTTTACATGACGATTGTTATTTCATAACGTTTTTAAAAAGAAAGGACAACAAAAATCACAACACACTACAAAAAAAAAATATGGTATTGTCATAATACATCATATTATTTTGTTTTATTTATTTTTCTTTATTTTTTATTCTGCATTGTATACTATTTTATTATTTTTTTATTTTTAAATTTATATTTTATTTATATCATAATCAAAAATCCCATTAGTTTTTAAAAAACATAATTTAATATCATTCCAAAAATAGAATCTTTGTTCAAAACTTGATGAAGGCTTATTAATCAAGCTGAAAATATTAGTTTTATTAAAAATTAACTGCTGGAAAAGTTCGTAAGGTGTTTTCGGTGTCTCTATGTAGTGATCTCTTTAAACAATGTTTTTTTTATACATTACATTCTGAAAATAAACTGAATAATTATTTTTATATTTGTAAATAAAATAAAACAATCTATTAATTAGCATAAAAACAGTAAATTAAATTGAAGAATTAGATTTTTCAAATTTACAATGCACATTATATAATGAATTAGCATACAAATTAAACTGTTCATTGAAATCACATTAGGTTTTTAGATATTTAATTAATTAATTTCAAAATATATAAAGATAGTTTATTTACCTAATATTTTTAAAATATGTGGAATATCAAGGAATAGGTAAATTCCTTTATTTTTTAATATAGAAATACTCAAAGATGACAATTTTTATTTTTTGAAAATATCTGAAAAGTCATATAATTTTTGTGTGTTTACTTTATCTCACAATTAAAGTTATTTAATGTTAAAAGACAGACTTTTACTTTTAGTTAAATATTCAATATAAATTTGATATTGATATTAATATTAAACATAAAAAACTTAATGATTCTTTTAACATTATTTTGAAACTGAAGTTTTTGAAAATAAATATTTTCTTTTTTTCACAAAATAGAAGATGAAGAATGGCTTGCAGAAAAAGATCATTTGCAATTGGCTCAATACATTTTAGATCGTTGTATGAAGAAAGAAATTCTATTGAATGAATTATTTCTTCAGTTGATTAAACAGACAACAGATCATCCAGGTATGGAATTTTGAAAATATATATTAAAAGGCTGTATCATTATTCTTATTATTAATGTTAAATATTTATCAATTAATATTTTTATAACAGCTGCAAAGAATAATATTTTGTGTTTACTAAAAATTTACATTTATCAACTATATCTGCTGTGTAGTGAGAGAATAAAAATAAAGCAATACGTGATTGAAGAATCATATAACTATGTGATTTTTTGTACATTATTTCAAAACTGAATTCAACTAAATTTTCTCATCATTGTTATTAATATATATAGTTCTCTGCTTTTTGGAGATCAAAAACAAAAAAATTCTATTCAAAGCTTTATACTTTGGTGATTTCCAATCTATCCTTAAGGGTATCAAAACTGTTTTGGTACCAGTAAGGATGGACTAGAAATCACCAAAGTATAAAGCTTCAAATAGAATTTTTTGTTTTTGATCTCCAAAAAGTAAAGAATCATACATTTAATGAGTTCAAGTGGAAGTATTTAAAAATTATTTAACAATCATAGACAAAAAGTATGACAAATATATGAAACTTTATAAAATTTAAGGATGCAAAAATCAAGTATTTTATACAAAAAAACCAATTATTAATACAGGGATGCACAACCTTTTGTGAAGAAGGGCCAAATTAGGATTAAGTTTACTGACTGGGGGCCGGACCTCCAAGCGATTAATGCGATGGCTGAGATTGGATGCTGGCGGCAATCTTCTTGATGTCTGGTGTAATGGCAGATGTTGAAACAACCAGCAGATTTTCCAAATTCTCGTTGGTTAACCTGTTCCGTGTTTTGCACTTGTTTAAATTCATAAGCGAAAACGCTTGTTCGCATACATAGGTACTGCCAAACATGCTTGCACAAAATCGAGCATTGTCTTTCAGTTTTGGAAATGATGTATCTGGCAGTTCTTTGTAGAATGTGAGGAGATTAGAATTTTTGAACTGTGATTTCAATTCATCACTGCACTGGATGTCTATCAACTCAAGTTGGACATCTGGAGGGGCATCTTCCACTTTCACATCAAATGGAGTTGAAAAAAGTTGCAGGTAGATCTTGTATTTCTGGAATTCACCAAACCTCTCATTGAATGATGTAAGGAGGGTGTTAACTTGGTCAGAGTAATCCATCTTCATATGTGGGTATTTCTCTTTCATGGCCTTGCAATGTGGAAAGTGTGTAAAGTTCTCTGATTGCATGTGGGACTTGAAAAGTGATAGTTTGGTCATAAATGCATTGATGTTACTTGTCAACTGAGAAACAAGTTGCATCTTTCCCTGCAATCTCAAATTAAGGTCGTTTAGATAAGCAGTAATGTCAGCAAGGAAAGCTAAATCACACTGCCATCTTTGTCCCTCCAAATTCCTTGTAGTGTTCCCCCGTTCTTTGAGGAAAGTGATAATAGGCCCCAATAGCTCCACAAATCTCTTGAGGACTGTTGCCTTGCTCAGCCAACGAACTTCAGTATACGTGGGCAGGTCAGCATAATCAGCATCTATTTCTTCAAGAAATGATGTGAAGAGTCGATGGTTGAGTCCATGACGGCGGATTAAGTTCACAGTATCATATACATCTTTCAGCAGACGTTCAAATCCCAGCTTCTTTGCACAAAGTTGCTGTTGGTGAATTATGCAATGATACTGGACTAACTCCTTTTGCCTGTCCCCAAGGTGGTTTTTCAGCAAGGTGACCATGCCATTCTCACATCCAACCATAGATGGTGCTCCATCGGTGGCAATGCTGGATAGCTTGTCAAAGTCCAGTGCTGATTTGTTGCAAACGCTCAATAAACTAGTAAATAAGTCAGCACCAGTTGTATGTCCAGAAAGTGATGCCATGCCAAGAAATTCTTCATTCACAATAAAATCTAGTGAAACACTTCTAATAAACACAATCACTTGTGCTGTTGATGATATGTCAGTGGATTCTTCCACAGCCAAAGAAAAATAAGCACAGTTTGCAACTAAAATATTAAGTTGGCCAGAAATGTCTGATGCAATTTGCGAGATTCTTTGTTGTATCGTCATGTGGTTAAGACTGATTGTTTGAAAACACTGTCTTCTCAGGACACATCTCACTTGCGATGATAAGACACTTTTTTATCATATCGCCATCTGTGAAAGGTTTCCCATTCTTGGCTATTAAAGCAGATATTTCTAGGCTGGCTTCAACAGCCGCATCCAATTCTCCAGATTGTTTCTTGAACACATTTTGTTGGCTGATTAGTGATCGTCGTAACGATTCGATTTTCCGTTTGCGTTCCGTACCTTGCAGAAGGAAATCCTTGTGTTGGCTTTCATGATGTCGCTTCAGGTTGAATTCTTTTGGCACTGCTATTGTTCCATTGCACAAAAGGCAAATAATGCTGTTGTTCTGTTGCACAAAACAGTACTTGTTAGTCCACACTTCCACTTCTTGAAACTGATGATTCTCGCGATTGACCTTGCGTTTAATGCCCGGCGCCATACTGTTCACTCTGCAAAACAATGTCTCATTGTGCCGAAAATTCTGAGGCCCGCAACAAATCATGTTTGAGATAAGGCAAGCTAGACTACCACGTGCTTTGTTCTGTATCCACTCTGACCAAAGACTAAAGAGGCGGGGACAGAAGACTATTACGCACACGTGGCCAGGCAGGTCTTAATTCGTTCGACCCCTGTCCGGGCGTCTCCACCATTTCTCAGAATTTGTGAGTCAGATCGTCAACATGCCAGGTGCAGGACACTAATCCATCATAAATGTGGTTACCATTCTTACCTAAATTATATTTATGGCCCGTCAGTTTTACCCCCGTGTTCAGAAATGAATCAAAAGTGATTAACACAGTGCAGTGGAAAATCTGAATATTTTAAATATAATTATTAAAATTGCGATATCTCGTTTCAAATTGGCGCTAGAATCAATCTGTTTTTTGTTTTCTGTCACAAATATATCACAGTTTACGACTGTTAAATTTCAAATAAAATAAAAATTAAAAATAATAATTTAATTTTAAATTTACGAAAAAAAGAATGTAAAAATAAAAGTAAATAAAAAGTTCCAATTAATTTACTACTTAGATAACCTAAATATATCTGTTTTCTTTCAAACAAAAGAAACCGCAGCTTTCTAGCTACACGGAATCATTTTACAACCCTCTTTGTTGACACGTTTATGGTTTGACATGGTTTGTAATTATTAAATCCAAAATATTTTAATGCAAATGGCTTCCTTTTAGTCATAATGACTCTATTCCAACTACAGTATTAATTTTCTTGGTCCAACTTAATAATAATAAATTTGATGTGAAAAATTTTTTTTCTATTCTTAGTCTATGGAAAGATATTGTTGTAAATTATTGGTTGTTATAGCTTTTTGTACATTTCTTTTTGAACTCTGGTTAGTTTTTTCTAGTTTGAATGACATTA